AATGTCATTATATATATATATATATATATATGGATGGATGTGGTCAGTGGGGTTTGTATAGGTGGGTGTACTGAGCCTTCTAATGGACCACCATTCCAACATGCAAGCTCACACACCATAAACAACATCTCGCCGCTTTAAAACACTTTCAAACACTTTTAATTATATTTCATCAGCACATCCCTGCATCTATCAAGTGTGAATGTTATAATAGTAACATAATTTAATAATGAAGAGATGAGAGAACACTCTCTAAAACTGGTTTTGGTCCTTGTTTGTTGATTATTCAGTTGTTAGTTATCAGTACATTGAGAGTTTTATCAGTGACTGTAAAGCAGGAAAAGAAGGACACATAAAGGCGCTATGACACATAGACACACTAGGCATACAGTCGTATGCAAAATTTTTGCACCCCCGCTCAATCTCCATGTTGTTGTTGTTTTTGTGAGCGTAAATAAGTGAACGCATCCTCCACAGAGAACACACTACTGCACATATTAATACATGGTTACTGGAAAAATAAAACATAAAATGAGAAAAAGATGCAAAAAAAATAAAAAATGTGTACAAGTTATTGTAAGTTTTAATTTTGCAATGTATACAATTCAGCAAATAAATATGGTGCTCTACAATAAGCAGAAAAATGTCATGTTTAAGTGTCTCTCTGTAGAGGATGCGTTAACTCATTTTCACTTAGAAAATCAACAAAGCAAGTAATCTGTTCAAACTTTTGCATACATTTGACTCGTGATTGGACAAACACAAAAGTCAGAATCAGTAAAATACAGACAAAGTGGTTTTCTGTTGGTTTGATATGTTTCTACAGTGGAGAGTAAAACCTGTAGATCTTCACTGAACACACTGAAGAGTCACTGAGCCGCTCTGAATCTGCAGAACTGAGCAAACATCAGATAAAATCACCTGTAAAACTGCAAAAACAAGCGTTTACAGTATGTACAGTGTTTAGTGTGTACAGTGTATTTGCAGTGTTTACAGTGTGTATAGTGTGTACAGTGTGTTTTACAGTGTTTGCAGTGTGCTTACAGTGTTTATAGCATTTACAGTGCGTTTCCAGTGTGTATAGTGTGCAGTGTACAGTGTGTTTACAGTGTGTACACTGTGTTTTCAGTGTTTACAGTATGCTTACAAAGTTCACCGCATGTACAGTGTGTTTATAGTGAGTATACAGTATGCACAGTGTTTAGAGTGTGTTTGCAGTGTGTACAGTGTGTTTACAGTGTTTACAGTGTGTTTACATTGTGTATACAGTGTGTACCGTGTTTACAGCACGCTGTTTAGAGTGTAAATACAGTGTGTACAGTGCTTAAAGTGTGTATAGTGTGTATAGTGATCCTGTCTTACTGTATCAGTTCAATTATTAACACTTTAAATAAGTTCCAGAACAGAATCACTGAGGCTGCATAAAACTGGAGTTTGTTGATAATTACACATTGTCAGGAATAAAGGCATTACACTGTAAAACATTACAATTGTGCTGACTTAATTGTTTTTGGTTTACTTTACTTTGTTTGATTCTTTTTTAATTACAAATATAAATCTAGCAACACTTATTATTTCTTGTATAATCCTGAGTTACTGAGCTAAATTACTGGGCTAATCTAGTTCAGATCAGTTAATCTGCACCAGTTCTACAGGCTAAAGAGTCTTTAATAGAAAATGTATCAAAGCATTCTTAGCAGTTTTGCTGTTTTCTGTTGATAACTCTTACTTTTCCAATTTATGGATATAATTTTCTGTGTAAATGCTATTTTAGTGTCAGAGCAACTCTTGTGTTAAATGTGAAGTCAGTAACTGTTTTTTTTTTTTCGAGGCAATAAGTTTTCATGATTTTTAAGTGAAGTAAGGTAATGTAAGTTTACAGTGTGTGCAGGTACACTGTTTCACAGTTATTTTAAGGTACAACTGCACAGCTTAAATATGTTTTTCAGAGGAAAGATGCGTTTTTCTACATTGTCACAGCTTGATATTTAAAAACAGAACAATAAAATTAAAACGCTGGAGACAGACGGGGTGTGTGGAGTCAGTACAACTGCAATATGGTTGTTCTCGAACTAGAAGAATTGAAGATGAACCATAGAAGGGTCCACCCATTTTTTTCTGAGAGTGTAGAACTAAAAATTAAACAATTTAACTTACTGAAATATTTAATGTGTTAATTGCTCATTGGTAAAGAGACTGACAGAATAAATGAGTGGTGATCTGTGGAGGAGAGCAGCTTCTCATCAGTAACTCAGGTATTTTTCTCTTTGTGATGATCCAACGCTGCTTGATTAGAAAGCCTGTTACTCAAAGCAATTAAATGCTTCTGTTTTTGGTCCAAAACCGGTTTTTCTCACTGATTTTACTGAACAAAAGCATATGAGTCAGTGAATCTGTTGAGTTTTCCAGACCATCCACTTAATTTTGAGGTTCAGCTTCTTCCTTGTGGAGGCAGATTTAGGCTCCCGGTGGTAAAAAGTAACAGATGGAATAACTCTTTCCTACCCAAGGCTATAGGGCCGTTACATTTGTGATGTATTTTTTATATTATAGTATTTCATATATAAGCTGTATTGTGTGTTTTTGTGAATGTTGCTGATGTGTTTTTATTAGTGTATTATATGTTTAGTTTACCTGGCTGTAGAACAGATTTTGTTCAGTTGTCAGTTTTACTTCATTAGTGTTTGGTCAGTGTTAGTGATGGTGAGTATTTCCCGTCGGCTCCTCACATCATCAATTTTATATTGTTTTCCTGTTTCTCTCTCCCTCTTTGTGTTGTCTTTGCCTGAACTGCCTCTCTGTCAGTGTGCATCTGTCTGAAACTCCACACCTCACTGCTGGGCCTCACTGCTGTGCTTAAACTCTACAGCAGCTCAGTAGTTCAGTCACAGCTGCAGGAACTGATGTAGATCTGATTTAAACCCTCTTTATGTTCTTTTTCTACTGTGATTTACATGAATTTACTGACTACATCTCACTCAGCTGAACACAGTAAAAGCTACTTAACCTACACTATAAAAGCAGTTTGTCACTTCAAGTCATAGGTTTTCTAAAATTTTATAAAATAATTTTAAAAATGTAAGTTATTCTGAAAAATTACTTCATATGTGAACAAATATTTGAAGTGGTTTAATCAACTCCAATTAGTAATTTAAATAAATCAACATTTTAATCAGAGTATGTATTTGAGTTGAACAAAAGTGTCTCCTTTGATTGTTACCACCTGAGGTAATTTTTTTAACTGACCATTTTTTACACTGCAGTGGGGCAGAACCTCCTGACAACATTTTACTTACTTGGAAAATTAATTTGGCTTTACTTGCAAAATGTATTTTTAATCTGATTATTTGATCAAGCTGAATATTTGTATGAGTGTGAGTTTGACTGATTTCCCACATCAGAGCTGCAGAGCTTACAGTTCTGATCTATATCAGGTTATAAACGCTGTGTGTTTCTGTGTGAGTCAGATCTGCTCTCGGAAACGAGAGATCAGGAGAACATCAGGAGAACCTGCTCTCACACAGATCCACACTAAGGCCGCATCGCGTGCTTTAGAACCTCGACATTCACTTTAACACAGACCCATCAGCTGAATAGATTATTAATAGCGTAGTTTGTTTTATAAAGAGTTGACTGACAGCTCTGAGTGAAACACTGAGCCCTGAACAAGAACGAACACACACACAAACACACACGCATACATACATTGGCAGAACTGAGGAAAGGCTCCTGATGTCGTCATCATCTCTCGTGCTTTATAACATTTAAACAAACAACCTCAACTGTCCTCTAAAATTCAGTTTCACCAGCACTTAAATAAAGAGAACTGAACTCATGATCCCTCCTGTTTTCACCTCTTTATCAGTGCCTTCTGACCTTAAACGCTGCTTTGAGTTTTTTTTGAAAATTCGCAAATTAAAAAAAAGCGGTTCGGAAATTTTAAGCTAATACGTTAGAAGCTGTGTAAACACATTAAACCCATTTTAGTAAAATTTAATAAATACAAAAGCCACTTCAAGCTCAAAAAGAAAAAAAAATTCAGGTCATCAAACCTAAAATTTAAAATGTATTGTTTTACATTATCTTTATGACGGTCAATCAATTTAATAGATAATTAAATAATTCAAATGAGGTGGGGTGACTGTAAATGCAAAAAACATTTTTAGTTGATTTCTAGTTTTACAGCAGGTGTACTAAAATAATAATAATAATAATAATAATAATAATAATAATAATAATGCCATATTTTCAATTGGAATTGATATAAAAGATAAATGGATGGCCACGTGACGTGAGAGAAATGAGTTTATTAAAAAATGAGAAAACTTAAAACGTTTTAAAAGTGCCAGTTTAACATGGTCCCGATCTGAACAACATTGTTCACCAATAATAATAATAATAATAATAATAATAATAATAAACAGACCTGGGCCGCGTTATAAATCAATAATTGATCATTATTATTATTACTATTATAATTGATGAATTCAGGTAAACACTGTTTACTGATTTGATTTATAATCTTTGACTGTCACTGAAAAATAACAACACTTAAATATCGCAGACAGTGTCAGTTCAGAACAATCTGGGGAGAAAAAACTGAGCAGCTAAAAAGTCCTTCAATATATCGATTTATCAAATTCACGAGCTCCATAAATTTTAGAATACATTAAAATTAAAACACACCTCAGGTTCACTTCATCCGCTGTCCGTGTTTCCGCGCTAAGACTCAAAACTCTGAGACGGTTTTTTAAAAATTCTAAAAAATGAAAAAAGAAATGAAACATTACCAGCGGTCACACCAGTCCTCCTTAAACTACCGCACAGCGCGCGGAGCTCTTTCAGCTGGTCCGTTTAAGAGCCGCGCGCCGCTTCCAGTCCTGAGCGCGCTCGGATTTTGCTGCGAGACTGAAAATTTCTCACTTGGAATTTTCCGATCCACCTTAAATGGAACGTTTAAGGTGGAATGGAAAATTCCAAACGGGAAGCAGCCTCGTAGTTCGACTCGTGGTCGTCCAGTTAAAGTTCTTTTGAAATGTTCTTCTTCCACCAAAACACAAGCAAGGTTCCTCCGGGGGTCCGAGGGGTGTCGGTTATAAATCGATCCTCGCGTGCAGCGTGGAGTGCTTGCCCTCATGCTCCCAGTAAGGGCAGTGCATCATGGATAGCTCGGCGGGCTGGCGCGAGCAGGCGAACTGGAGGCCCGCGCTGTTGCCCGTCGAAACCGGAGGCGACGCGGCCGTGACGGGGCTGAGCTGCTGCGGGTGCTGTGGGTGCGAGTGGTGGTGGTGGGGGTGGTGCGGGTGGTGGTGGGCGCTCATGCCGTTGTAGGAGTTCACGATGCCCGGGAGAGGCATGGTTTGCACGCGAGAGTACGGGCTGTAGGAGGAGTGCGCGGACAAGCCCTTGACGTTGACGGGGCTCGCGTTGCCGCTAGGCGCGTAGGGCATGGGCGCGGGCGTCTGCGGCAGGGACCACGAGCTGTTGAGGAAGCCCGGCTGCAGGTACTTGGGCGCGGGCAGGTAGCCGTAGCCGTCCCCGCCGAAGAGCGACTTGCCGGAATGGAAGTGAGCCGGAGGAGGCGGCCTGAACGGCCTCTTCATCCGCCGCCGCCGCCTGTAGTTGCCCTTCTCGAACATGTCTTCGCATGCGGGGTCCAGCGTCCAGTAGTTGCCCTTCCTCTCGCCGCCGCCCTCGCGAGGAACCTTGATGAAGCACTCGTTGAGGGACAGATTGTGGCGGATGCTGTTCTGCCAGCCCTTCTTGTTCTTCTCGTAGAAGGGGAACTTGCTGATGATGTACTGGTAGATGCCGGAGAGCGTGAGCCGCTTCTCGGAGCTCTCGCGGATGGCCATGGCGATCAGCGCCACGTACGAGTAGGGGGGCTTCTGGGTGGGGTCCGGCTTCTCGGCCCCTTTCTTCTCCACGACCGTGGCGTCCTCCTTGGCCTGCTCCTTCTCCGCCGCCTCGCTCGAGCTGGAGTCCATCAGGCCCATCACGCTCTCCTCTGCGCTCAGGTACGCGGCCATCATCTTTGTTTGTTTTTACGGCAAATCAGACTCGGACTCGGACGTTCTGCGGCTCTGATGGTCATCCAGAACATCCAGAGCTGCCTCCCGCGTTCTTCTCCTTCACAGGTCGCCGAGTAAAATGATCTATTTTTTGGGTGAGATTTAAAAATATTTTTGCGACTATGTTGTTGTTTTGCGGACTTGTGCGCGCTCGCGCTTCACTTTCTTCTAAACTGGATCTTCCAGCAGAAGGAGGAGAACTGAACTGCTGTTTGGTTTCTCTGTGAGCCCGCCCCCCCTCAAAAATCACACACACACACACACACACACACACACACTAACACGCAGCGCGCGCCAGAAAAACCCGTGTCTCCTGTTTGGAGTTTGATTAAATATTTAAATATGTAAATAAACTCAGCACTGTTGGTGTAAATGTATAAACAGCAGCAGCACAAACATCATTTAACAGGCGTTTAAAAACAGGTCTGTAATTTTACATCTGTTTGGAAAATTGTTTTGAAAAAAAAGAAATCGTATTGTAAATTTGGAAAATTTCTATCACAGTTTTAAATGCAAACAACTGCACAATGCTTAAACGGTGAGAGTTAGATTTATTACTGTTGTTTATTTATTATTTTATAGTATTATAAAAATAAAATATAAAAGTGGTCACATTTACACTGTTTATTGAAATTGACAATTCTGAATCTGAACTAGGATTGTACATTTATTTTGTCCTCTAAAAAAAGAAATAAGAGAATGACTTAAGAAAACTAAATTTAATTTAATTTCCATCATCTCTAAATGAAAGCTCGTCTTCCTTCAGCAGGTCAGGGACGCTGATGTTCTCCAGATGTTTTAGACTCTAATGCATCACCTGTACGGTTCTACAGAGGCAGCAGAACCGAGGAGAATCTAGGAAGGCGATTTTCGCTCAAATGTCATCAGCAGCTGAACCTTCAGTGAAGATCTCACTTTATCGGAGAGCTAAGAATGACCACACCACAGTCCACTAACACACACACAGCTTTTATAAAACACTTCAGTCAATCAGATCGATTAAATATGTTCATAAATACATAGATTATGTCCGCGAGTTTAAATTGCGCCGGTAAAGAACGAGAGGTTCTACAGTAAAAGCTCGCGCTTTAGTGTTTGTTTAAATGTAAATAATTCACTACGTTTGATTTCGTCATCTGGAGATCGGAGTGCGCGCTGGAGGACGAGGTGACCAGCAGAGTGGTCAGAAAAGCCGATCATAATGATTATTCATGAGGCTGTTTTAGTGCGCAGTAAGATCACTGTCTCTATTATTCTGAATAACTGTCGATATTACCTGATACTGTAAACATTAATAAAACTGCCGCTGTAGAATTTATTCATTACCGACCAAAAACACGCAATCAACGCAGTGACGTCATGTTGTCTCTTACAGCCGCTCTAAATAAAAACATAACGAGTTTTTGAAAGTTTTGATTTATTAAATTGATCCTTATTTTCTATTAAAAACTGATTTTTTCTTTTGTTTTAATTCAGGAACATCCACACTTACAGATTCTCACTATTACAAATAAAGATTGTCTAAGATAGTTCTAGACAAAAAATATTGGTTACTGTTATTTATTGGTGATTAAAGCGTTACTGTAAATTTAGCTTACCCATACAAGAACCCTTATAAACACTATCCAGAATAAAGGCTCCCAGTAAAGGTTCCCAAATAAGGGTTCCTCTTAAAAGTAAAGACTCTTCTTGAAGGAAAGGTTCTTAAATAAAGGTTTCTCTTAAAAAACAAAGGTCTCTCAATAAAGGTTCTCAGTAAAATTAAAGGTTTCATAAAGTTTTTCTTAAAATAAAGGTTCCTAAATAAGCCTTTCTTTTAAAAATATCTTTGAAACTATTCCGTTTGTATAGAACCTTTACGTTATTTGGAGGTGCTTTAAGTTTTCTCACACTCACTTATCTGATTTATAAAAAAGGTTCTTTAGCGAACCAAAAGTGGTTCTGTGGCAGAATTCAGTCATACAGCGATCAGTGTCCCTCTGACACTGTAGACATGTAATACACAGCAACGAATGATAACGAAGAATAATGAATAATAATGAATATTAATCAATGCTAATAACTAGTAATGAACAGTAATTGATATTACTGAACAGCAATGAATGCTAATGAATATTGATCAATAGCTGAGTGTTATATGGGTGTAAAATCAGTTAGAGGTCAGTAATGAAGCTGAGTGGATTCTTTTATAGAGTGAAACATGTCAGCGCGCGAGAGGGCACGAGCTCTCAGCTGTAATGAATTTTGAAAGACAGAAATTCCTCTCCTCGCGCACTTCCTGGCCTCGAATTGAGGCATGAGGATGTTTATGATTGAGCGCGCGGGAGGAATGTGGGGACTGGATCAGTGGGGTCACACACACACACACACACACACACACACACACACACACACACTATTATTATTATTATTATTATTATTACTATTATTATTATTATAAATGTATATGTATAAGTTTTTTCTTGTCTGCTTAGCGAGGCTGAAGTTCCAAAACAGTGCATCTGTTACAGTCCGAGGAAGTAGAGAAGATGAGTAGGTGAAGACAGAGGATGAGGAGGAGGAGGAGGAGGAGGAGGAAGATGAGGAGGAGGCGGAGGAAGCGGATGATGATGATCAGGGCCGTAACTAGAATGAGAATTTTAGTGAGGGCTATTTTGCAGAAATGTGACCAACATCTCATAGTCAATAGCTAACTGTAAAATATGAATATTACACCAACTGTAAGTTTTTCATTGTTCTTTTTTTTTAACAAAATCATTGCCCATTTCCACCCATCCATAACTGTTATGCACTTTTTCCTTTTATTTGTTCCTTCCCCATCCCTCCATTCTTCCATAAACTGCTTTTACTGTTCCATAAACTGATTTAACTTCTACCCTGTTTAACTTTATTTAATTAATCATTTTACTACTTATTTATATGTTTAGTTTCAGCTGAAAATAAATATTGAAACATTTACAGTGATAGTTTCTCTCTCTCCTCTCTCTCTCTCTCTCTCTCTCTCTCTCTCTCTCTCTCTTTCTCGCTCTCCCTCTCTCTCTCTGCTTGTCTCTTTTGCATCTCTGTCCACACTGATTTTGTAAAATCACATAATAAACATACGTTAAGTTAACTTAATAAGGCAAAATAGAGCCTAATGTAGCTGCTGATTTCTTAATAATGTTAGCTACATAATATTGTACCATCACCGTGCTGTTAACAGTGAACGTTCTCATGCTGGTAGTAGTTTGTTATGTATAGGTGACAAAATACAGCTTTCATTTCTCATCTTATCTCTAACTATAGAGCCAGTAGCCTAAACTGATTATTAAATTATGCTCATAATTTCTTACATTTTTACCATGCCGATGGTATAATTGTAAGAAATTATACCTGAATATCTCCAGAAGTCAAAGTCACTCTGGGACTCAGGGCAGCGTAGCGTCTCACACAGAGACAAACAGAGCGGGCAGTTCAGTCAAGGGCCGAACCGCAGCTGTTCTGAGGTCAGCTGAGAATCTCTCACTACTCACTGCGTAGTTTCATCTCTTTTCCTACTCTGAATCTCATAAAAACCCATTAGAAACTTCCGAAGACCTCGGAGTCCTAACGCTAGTCACGGACATTACGGGCGCTGATAACGTATTGAAGCAACTGCAGACAATAGCAGTTGTTAAGCAGTGATTGAAATCAAATTTCATTATTCCAGAAATGCAGCATAATAAATTTTCTGTCTCCATTTGGTTGGGTAAGCCTGTGATGCTGTGATGCGACCCCGAGCAGACTGTACGATCATAATGGCGCTTTTTTTCTCTGTTAGTCTCATGAACGGAGGAAAGTGAAAAAAACACTCTGAAACCACCGGTTTTCAGACCTCGGTGTCTCATAGCTAGTTACAGTTATGATGATAGGATGAGAGTAGATGTCCTGGTCAGTGCTGGTCTGCTGAAGTTAAATCTTCATTTCAGAACTTTTCACCTCTCAGCATCAGGAGCTCTATGACCTTCACTCTGTACCAGTAGCTCCCTCAGCTCAGACTGAGCAGCAGAGCAGGAGATCTTCAGTCGAGGAGGTCTGGTTCCTGCACTGTGTGGTGATTTTCCTGCTCAAACACACCTGTTTCAGCTCAACAAATAATGACCAGGTTTAGCTGGTTTAGTTTGGTTAGCTGGGTTAGTTTGGTTTAGCTGAGGTAGCTGGGTTAGCTAAATTAACTGGTTTAGCTGGTTTAGTTTGGTTTAGTTGGTTTAGCTGGGTTAGCCGGTTTAGCTGGTTCAGTTTTGGTGGCTGGTTTAGTTTGGTTTAGTTGGTTTAGCTGGGTTAGCAGGATCAGTTTTGGTAGCTGGTTTAGTTTGGTGTAGTTGGTTTAGCTGGGTTAGCCAGTTTAGCTGGGTTAGCTGGGTTAGCTGGTTTAGCTGAGTTAGCTGAGCTAACTGGTTTAGCTGGGTTAGCCAGTTTAGCTAGGTTAGCTGGTTTACTTTGGTTTAGCTGGTTTAGTTGAGTTAGCTGAGCTAACTGGTTTAGCTGGGTTAGCCAGTTTAGCTAGGTTAGCTGGTTTACTTTGGTTTAGCTGGTTTAGCTGAGTTAGCTGGCTTAGCTGGTTTAGCTAGTTTAGTCTTCCCCCAGAAGACTTTCTACAGCAACTGAAGAATGTTACGGTTGTGTGCAAAGTCTCAGCACCCCCAATTACACTCCATGTTGTTCATTTTCTAAGGGTAAATAAGTTACACGTGCTCTAGAGAGACACACTTCTTATTTACTAAATGTAATATACTGGAGAAAAAAACATAAAATATAAAATGCGCCATACCTTTTGCACAGGCCACTTTATGTGTTTTGTTTTCCCCAGCGTGTTGGACTCAGTAAATAAACAGTAATTGTGTATTAAAATGTGCAGAAGTGTGTCTGTACAGGATATGTTGGCCTGTGTGAGATGGCGTTTTGTGAACAGGCGAGAAGGAAGATTCTGTACAGTTTGGTTT